TGTCAAAAACACGTTACAAAAGCCAAATCATCTCACGCTTCGGCATGAACATCAGACAAAGCCAAACTTTGAAGCCCTATGCAACTAACAAAGAGGGTTATACAGACGCGTAGAACAAAGAAATCGGCCTAACATTGCCCAGAAAGAAGCATGTTCATGCATGGCAAGGGAAAGACAAATGATCAACGCTAAAACGGCAGGGGCGGGATAGCGACACACAACAGGCAAAAAAGAACGTTAATTAGACGGCACTAAGCAGCACCTTGAAGACACAAGGGGAACAGGCGAGCAACAAATGAAAATGCGCCGACAGCAGGAACACAAATGCACACAGATGAGACCACAGTAGCTGACTAATACATGGAAGGCCACAAAAGAAAACGCGCTCAATACAGCTCGGATGCGACTCAACCACACGAATGAAATACGCAGAGCAGATGAAACAATGAAGACAAACACCACTAGAGGAGGAGATACAGCCAATAGGAAGCCAAGGCAGTATATTTTCAGCAACGTACGTGAAGGGCTTTTGTCCTTTTACAAGAGCCGCAGGATTAGTGAGGCAAACGAGGCCGGTAACCGTTTCTGAGGTAGTGGAGAGGCGCCGAACGGATGGTCCAGTCCTCTGAGGGTCTCCAGAGTCTCCTTCACGGGAAACAGGGTAGAATATGGGAGCGGCTGCTGACGCCCGACCCTGGACATCCCTGCTCGCTGAAGCCCCAGCGCTTCGCTCGGCACTGAAAAAACTACTTCCGCCACCTCCGCCACCTCCGCCACCTCCGTTACCTCCGGTACCTCCGGTACCTCCGCTTCCATCGCTCGAAGAGGTGGAGGGGGAGCTGGTTGCAGCTGTAGTGCTAACACTGGTAGTGGTGGGGGCGGCTGTGGTTGTCTTAGTTGAGATAGGGCAAGTGATGTAGGCGCAGTCAAGTGTGGCGCCCTCCTTCGGGTTGTACAGGGCCACAAGTGAGACGTTCTGGCTATCGGCATATACGTCCTTTGGTTCCTCGTATTCGGCCGGGAGTTCCCCAAAGTTTACGTGGGCTTTTTTCCAATAGGAGACGGCTGCCGAGCAGCCATCGGCAGGGCCTGTCTCAGGCGCGTAGGCATAGGTGCCCTCGCGCTTGGTATTTGCCTCCGTAATATTAACCAATTTTCCCTGAACGCAAACAATAGCAAGCCAATGCGTTCAGGTCCATGTAGCCTGCAAGGGCTGCCGAATATAAACGCATATGAGCAGACAATCACACCGAGAACGTTTACGGCAATGGTGGCGCAAATGCAGGTCGCTTGCCTCCTGTATGGCCGAGCAGATCTTTCCTATATAGGTTTCATCGCCTGTCGACAATTTCTTATCGTTGTCCGTCTCTGCGATGAAAGCTTCGAGACCTGCTCGTTCTCGAGCGGCATTGAAGTCGGCAAGGCAGTCGACGGACTCTGCACAGAAGC